TAAACTAGGTAGGGAGAAAGAGAGAGAGAGAGAGAGAGGCAAACAAGAAAGTTAAAGAGGTGACTCGTTCCTGCTAACGACATCACGACCTGCACGGCGGGAAGAAGGGGAGGAAAGGACAGAGGGCACCCAAGCAGCAGTACCGGGACCAGAAGGTGTACGGGTATATGTTGTGTACGAGATCGAGGAGGAGGAAGAATAGAGGAGGGAATGACGAAGGGATGTAACAAAGGTATATACAGAGAGGGCCCAGAGAGGCAGCTATATAGCTTGCGGAGAGGCGATGGAGTAGCAGAAAGAGAGTGAGAAGGGCCCCATTCGTGCACGGCCGGGGTCGTGGGCACGGGATATCTGATGCAGAAAACCGGTAAAGGCTGCCGGGGAGAGAGAGAGAGAGAGAGGAGCGGGTCCCGATCTCCTCATCGCGAGCCTCACGAGGAAGAGAGGGACCAGCTCTTCGAAAGCAAATACTGCACGAACGGAACGAAGGAGCCGGCGAGAGAGAGTGAGGAGGGGGGGGGGAGGCCTGGCCGAGCATTGTCTTCCGGTGACTTAAAAATTTACTCGTGCCTTGTTAACCGTCCCTATCAGATACTCCCCCCGTACTCACTCTCCCTCCCTCCCTCGCGAGCCTAGCGTGGTGTAGATATATATTTATATGTATGTATGGACGGAGGGAAACCAAGTATGGAGGCTATCCTCGTCCTTTTGCTCCTCGTGTGCGGAGGTGGAGAAGAAAAAAAAAAAAAAGAAAAGACCGAGAGAGACGAGAGAAAAGGTGGAAAGAGAAGGACACGAGGATGCTCGGGAGAAAAGATAGGACGGAGATATAGAAGCAAATCGAAGGTGGAGGAGGAGGTATAGAGCGCACGGCTCTCTGTTTCTCTTGCCCTGCTGCAGCTTCTTCACCGACACGAAATTTTCTTCGTCCCCTGCAGTTCGCTATCGGCGCTGACCTTCTCCTCCTCGCACGTATATTTGTACGCGTGTGATGTATACCGTGATGCGACTCTTCTTCTTTTCCGCGGAATAGTGCGAAAGACATCAGAGGTGCATAGAAGAAGAAAAAATACATTATACGCCGTATACACTCACGAATTTAGATTACAATTTAACCATGTGACAAAGATTTAATAAGAATATCAAGTATCAATTATTCAACCGCAGTAGATTTCGCTCGAGGTTATCAAAGAGACCGATAAAAAGCGAGAAAGATCGAGTTCCCAATGTGTGTACATATATACGTATGAAGATAAAGGATCTACAATTTGGTTGGGCCCTGTTTTTTTTTTTTTTTTTTTTTTTATTGTCATTATAACATCGAAGCTCAAACGAGGTAATAATTTCTCGATCCAGTGGGACAAAATTAAATAAAAATCTTCTCCGTCATAAATCTCGGCAAAAAGTAGCAGAGGTGGCTGATGCTGCTGTCGCGACGATAAATAAAGGCCCCTTTCACGTCGATAAATTACTCGTCCACGTACACACCAAAACGCGTCTCCAATCACCCAAAAATACTGTGCATTCTGCTGAGCAAACAAAAATAAAAAAATAAAAATAATCCACAACAGCAGCAGACGAAGCTCGCCGATTCCAAAGCAAAAGAACATCGACAGAATTTGGCGAGAGAGCCGTACGGCTGGCGGCGAGGGGGCAGCTAGCCAACGCGAGCCAAAAGGTGAAAGGAAGAGAGAATTTCGCGCCGCGTGTACGATATAATATAAGCTTACCGTCGCAACATCACTGCACGCACCACCTGCCAAACGGTTCAGCGCGGTTTTGCGGGTTCAGCAACGATGCGACCTCTCGGCCGTACCCCTCCATGCACACAATCATGTGTATGTATACCTGTACACGCTCGACACCGTTGTTCACTCGAGTTGGCAGGGAGAGACAAAAAAAAAAAAAAATACGATCCGACGTGGCTGATTCACCTCCATCCCCGTCCGATATATATTTGTATATTCTTTTCTCCTCTTCGTAAGTACACCCTTCCTCTTTTTTTATTTATTTTTTTATTTTTGGGAAGCTTTTCACCTCGAATTCATCATACCTTATCATCGAGACCCTATCTCGCGCGCGTGTTCTGTGTGGTGTGGATATACATTTTTGACTTTTATTTATCCTTCCCGGCTTGGTTGTATACACGCGCGGGGGAGGCCTATCGCTGCCAACCGATCGCGCGCAGCCGATGACGCGGAGTTTGTTTTTCGATTCGAGAGATCTCCAACCATCGTACTTACCCTCTCTCTGTGGTATGCCTTATCATTGGGTTCTATATAAATATTCGAGAAACTTCGTGACTCCAAACTTTGCAACTCGCACGTGAGTCTTCTTTTGTGCTTCACGTAAACAACCAACAGCTCCACCGAATCAGTGCCTGCATTGAAGGGGGTGTACACATATATTGTGTATCCGGTATGACGATGTGCGCCCAGTAGCCATATCATAAAGAGACACGCTCGGTCACAATATTACAGTGTTCGCTCCATATACAATAGACAGATAGACGCTATAAATATTATATATCTACCACCTACAGTTACGGACGTCAGCTTGACATCGCCATGAAATATTTATTTTCATCCTCGTGTAACGTATTATATTGACAATCGGTCCCCTTTAACGCTTGAATGTTATTTTACACAAGCAGCTCCTGTGTACTGATGGATGCGCGCTATATTCTCCATCTCTCTCTGTACTACTGGAGCCGAACAGACAATGAGATATTATGAGTTGCTCAATCCATTCTCATACCCACTGTATACATTACAAATGTACACTTATTGTATCGCGCCGCAAGCATCGACTACATCGTCGTAATTTTTATCCAAGCCTAATTGAAATTTATCGCAAGATATAAACAATATTCAATGGAGATATTAAGAATAGCCTGCAAATGCATTATTGTATTATTTTCCCGGTAAGAGAAACGAATAAATCTCACAATTCATCTGGCAGGGTGCATTGTACGATTTGACGTTGCGCAGCAGCTTTTGATTCGTTCGCTTTAATCGTCTGGCATACATATGTGTACACATGATCGAATGGCGATTTTTTCCTTTTCGTTTGAATTGAAATTCAATCGCGTGACCCTTATCTACGTATGCGTTTATTATACGAAGGTATACACTTATCAGTGCGAAGCTATCGTTTTAATTGAATCGCTATAGGGTACACTTTTGATCCAACCCACCTCTCGATCGAAGTGGAAAAAAAAGGGAAGAAAAACTCTGTGATAAAATCGGCACATCGGTATATGGATCAAACCACTCGAATCAATATCCCATAAACTCTCTCGCGCGCGTAAACAAACCGGAAGATACGTGCAGAACTTCATAAAAGCAGCCAAGGAGCAAACGAGCAGCGGAGTAAGTACAATAAGAAAACGAAGGGGAAGCGTGTCCCTCTCACACGCGTCTCGCGGCAGGGCAAAACCGGTATGGATCAACAGTCGTCGTTAAAACATCTCGCGCCTCTCCTTATGTCCACATGTACCTTTTTCCACTCTCTCTCTCGTAAATGTACAACTCGAGAGTAGTTTCTCCCTTCCTTAATAAAACGTGGCGCAAATTAACGAGCGTCTCCGATAGTTATCTCCTGCGCACTCTGCTCCTCGTCCTCCTCCTCGTTGTCGCAGCGCGACCGAACGACGATTTAGGGGTTACACGAGCCGGGAGGTCAGCTCGTGCGGGTCCCAAAGGCCGTGTGCAGGGTATCGTCCCGAGATCTCTTGTATGATGTGCCCCCCCCCCCCCGGCCCTTCTCCCGTATACCTTGGGTCGCCAAGCTCTTGTTCCGCGAACCCAGAACTGGCAAGGAGTTTCTACAGAGCCTGTATCTTGAATTATTATCACCCTCTCTGCACACGCGGGTATAATTATATTACACGATACCCAAGAGTATTGGCTGCTGCTCGGACTCTTTCGACAGAGAGATATACGATACGTCTCCGATTAAGCGCGTCATTCATGTACACCTCCTTTCACGCGTGTGCCCATTGAAAGCTATTGTATATGCGTATAGTACAAATGATTTTTGCAGGTATATATTAGAGAACGAGAAGGAATACTCGAGAAAAAAGACCATTGGTTCTCGACAATTGAGTCTGAATTTCGAAATGTTTGGTGGAGCGTGTATAAATTACATTTTATACGCAGGTATATGGTTGTACTTTGCGAATATGGTCGAGATCAGGAACAAATTTCATCCCTCTCGCGTGATTTAACACGAAATTTCCGGGCGAACGATAATATGAGTGTGTAGGTGTTTGCATGCTCAAATCGATCGAAGACGTAAGGTGTACAACCTGGGGCGCATCAACGCAAACCCATTCGCCCCATCGTGGCAGAGTTTACACGGAAACAGCATTTGCAAAGGTGATCGATATTCGATTTTCGACGCCCCTATGTGTGTGCACCCCCCAAGCCACCGATAATCGAAATATGCGAGGAGGAAGTCCCACCGCGTAACCTCGTTCGCCTCGTCGGAAGGGGAAGAGCGAATAGGTCATTATACGGGAAAGTGCACTCTGTATCGCGAGAGATAACGCCGATATTTTTTTTTTTTTTTTTTTGGCATGGGTGTTGGCGCGCGCGCCACTTTCCTCCCTTTTTCGGAACGCGTCGAGAGGCAAATGGAAGCGAGAGGCTTTTCCCGCCCGAGTGAGCTGATCAAATTTTACGCGCCTCTGATGTTGATGTACGTGTAACGGGGAGGAAAAGGCGCTAAGCTGGAAGGGGCTCTCTTTGAGCATCGAAGCACGAAAAAGGGCAAATTGGAGTATTCGATGGACCCGCGATTGTGTATACATCTCGTCCCGAAGAGCTTTTAGATTACCCCCCTTTCTTTTTATTAAATTCGAATAACTGGTCTTCCCATGTATTTTGAGAGCACACCATGCTTATCTCGAAATATTTTTTAAACGACAATGTCATCTTAATTGTATGAAAAAAAAAAAAATCAAAAATATACAACCCCTTTGTTTATTTGTGTTTCAGGTCTGAAAGCCGAGCTGTTCTACGTGCGCGAGGGTGTGGTCAACGAGTACGCGATGAAGTTCGTGGTGCCGGTGCCGGCAGCCGTGCACAAGCTACACTTCACGTGGGAGAGTCTCGCCGGTAGGCCGGTAAGTTTCGACAGTTCAGTTTTTTCCCTCCTCCTCCTCCATCGCCAGCCTCCCATTATATATCACAGTGCCCGTACTCATATATATATATACCTCACGCAAGAGAATTACCGGCAGCTTGAACGTGTTTGAGTAGTTTTGCTGACTCGAGTAATTTATCCCCAAGTGAGCAAATTCCAACTTGCACAATATACTCCGCAGGAAATACGCGTTTTTGAAGAGTTATGAAAAAAAAATCGAGCATCCGCACGGTTTTCCGAGTGGAAAATAATTTTCCAGCGAGAAAGTAAAAACTAACGCGGAATGAACAGTAGGTATGATTATGCAAATTAAAAATTATCAGCCCCGGGCTGAACAGGCGTTTACCACGAGCTACGGAATAATAAAGCAAAAATAATAAATATTTTACGAGAAAAAAGTGAGGATACAAGTATACCTACAACGCGCACATGCCGTGTAACGCCGATAGAAATGCAAATATATTTCGACAGAGGCCTGCACTGACCATATCTCCTGAACATTAGATATTACAATACACAAAGACAAGAATAATGTTGCGCTCCCATATTTTTTCCTCTTTGGCATCATAATTTTTGCTCGAAAAAAAAAAATAATACGTACCTCATCGGTAGTCCTGCTTACATACTTACGATGATTTCGCATCCTTGAAGCTCTCACCCTGCATGCATGCGCCACTCGCTCCCTTTTACACATACGTATGCGTATATGTGTAGTTACACCCAATGTCCTGAAAATGTGTATATACATATACAGGAGAGGAGCATCTGCTCACCGGTAGCAGCCCACGTGCAGTCGGGTATACACACAGTCTTCGTTTGGCCATGTCCCTTCCTCTCCTCCTTCGTTCGGACGAGCAATCGGTTTAAGTGTTTTTCTCGCTCGTTTTCGCCTCGCGCGGAATGACGTTACAATTTCTGGGCTCTCTCGAGTGGATTTCACGCTCGTAAAATGCTTACCTCCGTTACACGTGCACACGTGTATAATAATATACCTCCCATGCATATAATATAAGGAGGAAGGAACAACGACGAGCCGAAACGAGGGACCATCCACGTGTTTTACTCATGTTGTTCCTGATTTGATCTTCAACTCTTTTTGCGTATAACTAGTTGTTTGACACTTTTCATATCCTTTATCTCCCACATTCGTTGGCTGTGTACCTCCCTTTGGGCAAAGTCGCGTCCTTTTCTTCTTCTTCTTCTTCTCCGTACCACGATAACTCGAGTTTTTTTTTTTTTTTTTTTTGGAAATCCCATCAGGTACATAAGTTAAACACATAGGTTCTACGTATACTTACACTTTGAGCAGCGCAGAGTGATGGCTCCTTTTGAGGCATTTGGAGCCAACCAGGTGGAGGTCCTTGAAAGGGCTTCGTTCCGAGTCGTGGGTTTTGCTATTTGCGCTGGCCTCTTCCTTCACTCGTTTCACTCGTGCAATGACCGAAAATTGCGTTTGACACATTGTTCGCAGGAATTCACGAAACTCTTTCCTCCATGAAAATCATAATATACCTGGAAGGACAACTTTCCTCCTCTATGGACGCGTAATGAACTATACATATGGCAAAGATATTTATATTCACGAGTTTGCCGTACGTATAATGAACAAAATACTTTATAGACGAAAACGGCCGAGTGGTATACACTATTATGTACGCAAAGTGTGCTTGTGGAAAAACCCCCTCTCCCATAACTCCCCAAGTAATTGGGAAAGAGAGGGGGGGGGAGGGTTCTCCCATTCGCAATACAAGTACCAATGGGCTTGTCGTAAAACACACGCGCGATAGTGAAAAACCCTCGAATCCAATGGTCACGCATGTTTATCGACTCGGCATCAGCATACATTACAGCAACCCGTTTCATCGGGTTACTCGGGGCTGCGCACTCAACTCGACAACGCCAACGGGAACAAATTATCTCCCTCCCCCGGTGTAATCGCGGGGCATAAATACCCCGGTGCTCATAATAGCCCAGGACTCATACCCATCCATCCTCCATCCCTTCCTCGCACATTCAGGTGTATATGGATACTGTGTGTACGGCACCGTCGCCAAATTTATGCTTTATACATACGCTTCCCTATCGTGCAGGTGAAAGAACGTGGAAACCAATAAGTACGTATATGTAATAGCGAGACGTCGATCGTCGCGGAACGCGTGTACGTTTGGAAAAAAAAGGAGAGGACCGGGGGACGAAAGAATCCGCTCGGCATTGGAATTGACTCGTCGGTGCATCTCTCTCCTGCGTTACGTGCAAAAAACAGAAGGCGCAGGGAAAGAGAGATGGCTCCCGGCCCCCCGGGAAACAGAGGACGAGAGAGAGAGAGGATAAAGTGGTCGGGCGAGTTCCCCGGTGCATCGGGGAGGGCAATAAAAGGGAGTCGCGCGCGGCCCGCGGCATCCGTCACTCAGTCGCACGCGCGCGACACCGAACCGGGGAAAGGAACTTTGAAAAGGCTGTCCCTCGTCGGCTGATGTCCGTCAAACGCTCGCGGAGGACTTTGTCGTCCGTCACTCTTCCTCCTTCGGCTCTTGCCTCGCGAAACACGCTCGAAGGGAGGAGGACCTTTTACGTACAAATGGGCGTGCGTGTACGGGGCTTTTTTGGTTTGCTCGCGCGACAAATTATAATGCGATTCGCGTGATTTATTCGACGGATGGTCGACTCTTTTTTTTTTTTTTTTTTTTTTTTTTTTTTTCCTCCAAGGATGTTTCCTCGGGGAGGGTTTTTTTTCGATGTTTTTGCGGGTGGTTTCGCGTGTCACCTGTGCGAAGGAGAGACCGATGGAGCTTTGCTAAGGGACGTGGACCCTTTTTTTTGTGGCGCGTACGTGTACGCGAACGCTCATGTTGTTGCTAATGGTTTAATTCAGTCCCGGTGAATTTATCGACGACTGGGACTCTGATCGATTACCCTGAGGTTTTCAGGTTTTTTTTTTTTTGGCTCTTTGGAAAGATGTGATGCCATTTGTTTGCGTGGGTTGTAAATTTTGATCAGAATCCCTCTGCAGAGTGGATATCAGTAGAGTATCAATCATTGTCAATTTTTTTTTTTTTTTTTTGGCAGGTAATATTATATAATGAAATAGTTACCTACTTTGTCGACTACTTTGACGTACTTTCTTTTATCTGAATAATATTGTTTTTTGTCTTTGAAACTGTAATGCACTGTACCGTGTTCAAAGAAGTAATGACAAAAAAAAAAGAAACTTTATTTGATTGCAAAACACTTTAAGCAAAAAACTAGGTGTTCAAAGAATTGGAAAGGCATCCATGCGGGGCTTTGCCCATCAGCTGGCTGGTCCATAAACCGCGACGAGCGAACAAGAGAGAGCCAAACGGCCCCGAGGCGGAGATACCGATCTTCCGCGAACTCATTAAATAACTCCGCGTGTATAGGCGCACAATATATGACACTCGTCATCGACTGCGCGCAACCCATAAAATAACACACGTCGCGCGTTATCGATGTCGCGCTCTCCTCCTCTGCTTCGTACCTCCCCGGAGCGATGTCGATTGCGAGGATGAGTCGTGAATATAGGATGATGGCCGAGCGCGTCGCAAATCATGTAGGAAAGCATTTCCAAGACAATCAATCGGGGGAGAGAGTGTATACACTTGCAAACCCCGAGTCGGTACGATTTCCGTTCAACGATCCGAAACCTCGGGGTAAAAACGTAAACGTGTCCGCATCGCGAGGAGTAACAATAACAATGATAAATCACTCGCTCGCCACAGTTGCTTTTCAACCGCGGAGTACAACCGAGAGAGAGAGGAGGGAGCCGGAACATCCTTAACCGTTCGACAGCTCGTTCGCGATCGGCTCGAGGCTGCGGCTACGCCCTTCTTCTTCTTGCCTCTCTCCTTATTCTCCTTTTGCGCGGTGCGCGCCCAACTTTTTTCCGCGCGTATCTCGAGGGTATACACATATACATACGGCGAAAATCGTCTTCCGGGAAACCCTCGACCGGCGATTATCGCGAGCCGTGGATTTATGATTAGAGCTCTCGCAGGATTCTCTCCACCTCTCTTTCTTTTCCCCGCTCACCTTTTTTTTTTTCATCACCATTCCGTGCGCTCGTTTCGTGCAGCCGGATGGATAAAGGAATCTCCATTATTTGATTCGGGGCCCTTCTTTCCTCCATGCTTTTCACGAGCCTGTATTATAATCGGCAATGGAATGAACAACCTGTGTACTTGCAGCTGCCCTACACCATCTACGTGGACATAAGCAACCCGGCGGCCCTGACGACGTCGCTCAACGTCTCGGAGACGGGCGAGATACCAACGGGCGGCGTGCAGACTTGGGCCCTGGCGCTGCACTGCGGCCCGTACGACGCCGAGATCGATCTTTCGGTGATGATAAGCGTGTCGACGACGCGGCGCAACAGCACGAGGCTCGAGTTCAAGCGGAAGAAGATCTGCCTGAAGGACAAGAGCAACAGCCACCCGGTCATCGACGGGGTCTCGATAGCCGCCTCCAGCACCAACTCGGGTGGACAGGTCTTTTACGCGGCCGTTGGTTGCGCGTGCGCCTTCATCGCGGCCATATGCGTCCTGGTGCTCGCCTACTACGTCAAGGACAAGAAGGCCCGAAGGCACAGGGAGCCCCTCCAGTGAGTTGGCGACTCTTTTTTCTCTTCCTTTTTTTTTTTCGTATAACATTATTCGAAAATGGGATCGGTTTGATTGCAGAGAGTCGCGAGGACTCGGCTCGGCGTGCAGCGTGGAGAGGGGCACCGGTATCGGGCCGGCGCAGACCTTCCTGTCACCGGACACGCCGCCCCCGCCCTCCGCGGCTTCCGTCTCGACGTACCGGAGGCTGGACGAGAGGTCGAACCGGGAGCTGTACGAGCGCATCCAGGAGATCACCATTCAGAGGTATGTCTTTACTTCTGTACGCCCTATTTTTCAGGGTATCTATACTATTATCTCTCTCGCGTTACTATTATTTTTAGTTGTGTCGTTTTTATACGTGGCTTTGTCCTTGTTTCGTGTGCAAAAAGAAAAGAAAAATTTAGTCCATTAGGTACTGCTGGTAATACATTTTTAGAATTTATTCGCCTCTCGTGGTTGTGAATAGTAAAAGACTCCGTAGACGGCACAACTGAAAAAAAAAAACTAAATTTTTTTACACGGCAAAAGGCATTTTAATTTTGGGGTAAAAAAATCGACTCGCTCGAGTGCAGTCCTCTGTACGGTCGGCTGGAATATTTTTCAACCAACAGAGTTCGTATGGAAACTACTGCCATTGATTTGCCTTTGCGAGTAAAAAACCGCACGAGCTCGTTAACTTTTCAAACGGCACGCGAGCACGAGAGAACCCTTGACTTTTTTGCCTCCGCGTCTATCAAACGAAAGTTTTAATTACCAACCTCTTCGCCGGAATTTCCATCGATCGGTCGAATCGTCGATCGAGTGACTCTCTCCCCTTTCCTCGAGGACGACAACGCTAACGCTCCACCTTTGAAAGCTCGATTGGCTATGGCTTGGGCCAGAAAGGAGCAGCCTGACTATTCGAATTTTACCCTGTTTCGGGGATAACGAGGCTTGAAAATGCCGATACCCGAGTAGTAAAACAAAAATCATCCCGACTCTCGGGAGCTTATTTACATCCCTGGCGGTGTCGCCATGCCAAACGTATTGAAAAAGTTTCCCCGTTGAATTTTCTTTTGAACAGCCGGAAGTACCATTCACGCGCATAGCTGTATGAAAATAACAACTCGATCGATGCGTCGTCGTTTGCATTTTTCGCCTCGCTCGAAGGATAATTGCCGCGCAAACTTTTTCCCGATACCCCGGACGAGGTGGCTTTTCTCTTTGCTCTTTCATTCTCCCGGAAGCTCTTGAACTTTGTTTGCTCCGCCGTTTACTCGAACAAACGAGTTATCTATAGAGACCTAGTCGGGGGAGTGAGTCTCACGTCTGTTTTTCTCCTAACGAGTTTCGCCTTTGTGCTTTGCTCGCATCACGATCAATTACGGTCAATAAGTTATAGCGGGCGTTTGTAGCTTCAAGTGCAGTCCGAATTCAATTTGCCGCTATCAAGGGAGGTATAGCATTGGAAACCTCGGGGGGGTTGTTGTTGGATCAACCTCCACACGATAACCACCACTAAAAGTAAAAATATTTGAATCGCAGGTGCAGAGTGCGTCTCCTGAGCGTCGAGATGGAGGGAACTTTCGGCCGCGTCTACAGGGGAAGCTATCACGAGGAGGGGGCGACCACGCCGAAGGACGTGCTCGTTAAAACCGCGGCCGAGCACGCATCTCAAGCCCAGGTAAACGTCAACCCGAAGAGGTCGAATCTCCATCGAATCCCAATTTGCAAATTTGTTTATCTATAAATACGTTGCCCCCAGATGGCTCTGCTGTTGCGCGAGGGCCTGTCGCTGTACGGACTGAACCACCCGGGGCTACTGGCCGTGCTCGGCGTCTCGGTCGAGGACCGCGGAGCTCCGTTCCTCCTGTATCCGCACACCGGCTACAGGAACATGAAGAGGTTCCTGCTGCGCTGCAAGCTCAGCAGCGAGGGCCCGGCTCGCGCCCTTACCACCCAGGAGCTCGTCGAGATGGCTCTGCAGATCGCCAAGGCCGTGCAGTACCTGCACCGCAAGCGGCTCGTCCACCGGGACATTGCCGCCCGGAATTGCGTGTAAGTGTACATATGTATATAAATATCGCTCGAAAGCTCGTTTTGGGATAAAATTAATCCGTCCCTTTCCTTCGATGGTGCAGGGTCGACGACGAGCTGCGCGTGCAAATCGCCGACAACGCGCTGGCGCGCGATCTCTTCCCCCAGGACTACTACTGCCTGGGCGACAACGAGAATCGGCCGATCAAGTGGCTGGCTATCGAGAGTCTCCTCAACAAATCGTTCAGCACCGCCTCGGACGTGGTAAGTTGAGCCTCGTCTCTGTTTACCGGGTGTAAGCTTTCCTCACTTTGATATCGCGTTTGTCTCTTTATTGGGCTACCGTAGGCGGCGAATATCGAATTTCGTTTGTTTGCTTATTTTATCCATCCGCCCGATAAGATTACCAACGAAAACGGTGGTCGATGGGGCTCTCGGTTTTATCTCGCGACCGCGTGGGTGTGCGTCGACGAAATCCGAGACGGATCGCGTACGTGGGTTATCTTTTGAAAATGTTTCATCCAACGTTGATGTTCCAGTGGGCGTTTGGTGTACTGCTCTGGGAACTGACGACGCTCGCGCAGCAGCCGTACGTAGAGGTCGATCCGTTCGAGATGGCCTCCTACCTGAGGGACGGCTACAGGCTGGCCCAGCCGGTCAACTGCCCGGACGAGCTGTTCGCCGTGATGGCCTACTGCTGGGCCATGTCGCCCGACGAGCGGCCCACCTTCAGCCAGCTCATCGTCTGCCTGCAGGAGTTCCACGCCCAGCTCACCAAATACGTTTAAGAAGGACAGCGGGCCGCAGTACAGGCGTTACCACAGGGTCGTTTTTTTTTTTTTATCAGAGAGGACGAAAATAGTGATTCGTCCTTGGTAACTTCAAATCAAACGAATATATATGTGTATGATATACTCACTTGTAGCGAGGGGGAAAAAATTTAATACCGTAAACAGATTGGAATATCGTTGTTGAACAGGGTAGCTTATAGCTAATCGAGCATGTTTTTCCGTGGTGATCAGAATCGTGATTCGCCGGAGATATATCGATGTTTAATGTTTAGGGATCCCGAAGGTTTTACACTTATCTCAATCGATACAAACGAGTAGAGAGAGCTTATTTAACTTGGAGAAAAAAAAATGTGTTACGACGTAGATCGAGAGATAAATTGAATATATATATATATAGGACTATAGAGATTATGAAAAGTTGTTACAATATATGATATAACGGAGATTTTTTTACTATTTCATGTATACATGTATATGTGTGGTGTAACGACGGTGTGATTTCTCATTATTTCGTTACTTCGACCTGATGAAATTTTAACCCTCGAGCGTAATTTTATTTATTACCTTCAGCCTGTATATAATTGTCGAAATAATTGCAGCATGACCTGACTTATTTAGCTCGTAAGGTTTTACTAGTTTTTAAGGTTTTGAGATTCTTTATTTTATTTTGATATTTTAATTCTGTTAAAATTTACCAAATTCGCGCGAAAACTACACGTATCATTTGTACGATTGCAACGATCAAACGACACTAAGGCCAGCAAAAATTTTAAAAATCGGAAGCTGGCTTACTGATTTAAAAAAAACTTGTAGTTTTCCTCCCCTTTCTTTTGTACGAACGTTTTGCAAAAAACGTTGATCTCAGCGAAAAAACATTATGAATGTGTAAAAAAAAAAAAAAAAAAAAAAAAAAAAAAAAAAAAAAAAAAAAAAANAAAAAAAAAAAAAAAAAAAAAAAAAAAAAAAAAAAAAAAAAAAAAAAAAACTGTTGAGGGCTATTTGTTAGCTTGTGTTCACGGTACCCTGCGTGTGTCATCTTTTTGTATCGTGCGTCCAATTCGAACGTGCCAACGTTTTACTTTGTATTTTTGTACATACCTGCATCTATAGATGATATAATTTACTGCCTCGGAGCGAAAGTTTTTTATATACAAAAAAAAGCAATTGACATTTTTACTCGGATCATCTTTACAATGATTATTTCAAACGGATATGATTGATGTACATTTACTTTAAGACCATTGTATCTACTTTGAAATGCGCAACAAAAGTACATGTGCCAAAAATGATATCGTCGGTGCACCTATCCTTTCGATGAACCGATATCATCCAAACCACTTGTTATAGGGACGAGGAAGATAAAGAAAGAAAAAATAGACTTTCGCCCTGTTAAGCTAAATCGCACTGTAAATACGAGAGTTAGCCTTGAAGTGTAAAAGACATGTACAGAGATAAATAAACTACATTAAGCTAACACAGTACAGACAAGCCGTTGAAATTCCGTATCCGCTTCCGCGCGCCCTTACCCCGAGAAACACTCGGCCTCCACCCACATCCTGGCGCTTCCCATAAATCACGCAACATATTTCTGGAGCGCAACCCAAGCGCGTCCAAAGCCAAAAGAGTCGAAGAAAATAAAAAAAAATTATCCATCCCGAGCTTCGACTTTCCTCGAAATCAGTCAGCTGTACCCTCACGGCTGACGAAATTAATGGTCGACGCGACGACGTCTCGTTGGGAAATGAGTAACGAGGACACGGGTTACAAGAGCCACGCGAGCAATCAAGCCTATACTCAGCCACCCCCTATGCATGTCCATATATACATACAACGCGAACCGGAGGAAGAGAGAGCACGCGCCCGTCACGCAATGCCGAGCTTCTTCGCGCCTTGCTGACTTTTTACCCATCGCAACACGTATAATTGTATACACCGGCACTGCTAGCCCAATTATTATACGCTGCATTACTCGAGCGAGCGGAAGTACCAACTCTCTTTTTGTTTCCCTTTCGAAGCGTCGTGGGCAGAGAGAGGAGAAGGCCCTTTTATTTTTCCTCCAGCCTTCAATGTGGCCTCCCTCGGTTACAGGGAAGCACTTGTTTGTTAAATACTTATTTGTTTTTGTTCCGAAACAGTAGATCCTGTGCTATTTTAGAATGTGTAAGCCATAGAAGCTTTTGTTGTTCTTAAAAAAGGGGAAAATGTAAAATTTCGAGTAGACGGGAAGAAAAGACATGGAAAAAAAGTAATCTACGCGGCAACGTGAAAAGCCTCGCGATCATCAGCCTGCAGCGCGCAAAAGGATGAACGAAACGAGCCAGCGTAGAAGCAAAAGGGGACAACGTATTGGGGATTGTAAAAACGAAGGGTAAGGGCACGAATGGCGGGAGGATCGTCCGTCGTGGGCCATTAGCGGTGAGCAGCGTGGCTCAGTGTGCACCTGTACAATACGCGGTACACCGGGGAGTCGCTTCCTCTTTTCGCACAATATATATATACCGACTCTCGCGATTTGCGCCCTTTTTCCCTCTCCCTTTGTCTTCGCGAACGCGTATACACACAATGTATAAAGTAGGTGGTGCTGGTCCTTCCTGTATAGGTGGATTCAATGTTTTTCAGAGTTTTTTCCGAGATCTTTTTTTTTGTCGTTTCGCCGCAGGTCCCACTTTCCTTTCTTAGTATTTATTATGACGGCAGCCAAGATTGTTTACACCGTATTTTTATTTTTCAACAGCTGGAAACTCCGTTTTGTTCGAAATATCGCAGTAACTTTCAAGGAATGGATAAATAAATCGCAAAGATTTTCCTTCAAATTGATCGTCGCTCGGAATGGATATATATATATATTCCTCTTCTGCGATGCAACTATATATTTATAGTACGTGCTCATTACTCGATTGCGCAACAACACAAAACGCGCATCGTTTTTTATTATCCACAATTCAACCGATACTTACGTGAATGTGCTCTCACAAAAAAAAAAAAAAAAAAAAAAAAATAGTTACCGATACTAGAGATTCAATAGGGGCACTATATGCGTTACAACAAAAAGTTACGCCACGAAAATCTGTTGGTACCATGAACTTTATCTCGTGCTCAAATAAATGTATGTACTCTTTGATTGCCTTTCATTATTTCAATTTCAGCGCCCTCGCCTCGCTCGAGTGGGCAAACAGAGCAAATATCCAATCGAGACCGTTCCCAGCAGCCTAACGAGGATCGGTTAATCGACACTTACGCCCGAGTTGGTGCGTGAAATCGGGGAGAGAAGGAAATAAAAGGCTCGCACGCAAAGGACGTCAAAGGGGAGTGATTTGTCGAACCCGCGCGTGTGGCGTTTATACATATTCTGCAGCCTCTGCGAGTCGATCGATTTGCGCGTGTAATGGTCTCGCGTGTTACTGCGCTCTCGATTCCCGCTTTTTTTTTTTTTTTTTTTTAACGAGACGCTGATTTGTTCACAAGCGCGCGAACAACTCGTGTTTACTCTGTTATTAGTTTTTTTTTTTTTCCTCACCTCGATTATCGTGCACGGGAATACCTGGGAAGGGAAAGGCGGGAACTTTACCTTGTCGCGCAATCCTAGTGATCTAAATAGTTGAACGATGATTACGTTCACCGTATAGTTGCAAAGGATCACAGTGCTCACGCCTTTTTCTACCTCAAAGTACCCATCGCAATAATAATGGTTTTCGATATTATTGTGTATACACATAGTAGCTATTGATAAGCTGAAGAAATGTAGCTCACGAGTGCGAGAAAGAGGAGAAAGGTATAGGTAAGGGTCGACACGATTGTGTGATCGTAACATCGATCATGATTATTCAATTTTGTCAATGACAACAAGATGATCGAGGGTAATTACTCGAGTTGATTATTTTTTTTCATCCGTGAGTTCTACGAGAAAAAAAAAAAAAAAAAAGAAATCAGCTAGTGCGCAATGACGCAGGGAAAATTACTCTTTTATGTAAGAATTCAGAACAGATGGATTTATTGTTTTATTGTTGGATTTTTTTTTGCTAATGCTCGAGCAAAGTGTACAGTGTAACTAGTCAAAGCTTTTACGTTTTCTTTACAACTTTTCATTCATTTTATTTATTTACGATTATTTTATCATAGTGAATATTCCTGTATACAACCACACAAATTATTTGGTTTGAATTAGGAGCTGGTAAAAAAGTGTATAGAGGAGAGCAATACTCGTTTAAATCTTACTCGAAGGATAAATAAAGTTTACAAAACGATACGGTGGATAAAGATTTAGCTCTTACCGAGCGCGTTTATCCTTCCAACGTGAGAGGTAGCTTGGCGTTCATCGGCGAATCATCGAAAGCTCTTGCATTCTCGAGTCGAGGATAAACTACATGCATGGAAATAAATAACACCGCCAACATGCGTACAGTGTACTTATCCCCATTAGAATTTTTTCTTTCACTCGGTCTGTGGAGTTAAGCATTGGTACATGCTAAAAAAATGCAACGAGGTCGCTCCGACTACGTATCGTCTCAGTATATACGTAATCGAATGATTTCCATGTCCCATTAGTCGTTACCATTACGGAACGATAATGCCAACGAAAACACGAGTCCCAAATAAGACGTCAGAGCTCATATCGTTGCGTGCTAGGTATTTTTTTCCAAATTGCCTTCTCGTCCGAGTATAAAACCATCACGATCCTACCGATCTCAGTCCAAATCGGTAAACCAGCCAACAGAAGCAGCACTCAGATTCTCACTGGAAATGTCACCGAAGCTCGTGATTGTCTTGGCACTCGCACTGATAAGTTCCCTCGTAGCTGAAGAAATCACGGATACTTTGGAGAAGGTCGGCGACGAGTCAGAGACGAGTTCCGAGGTACCGGCCAGTCACGAGGGCTGTGATTTACCGGCGATGGTCTCCACTATGGAAACTAAGGTCCACGGCAATGACGCTGAGCCGAAAACGAGCGCCGAACACGTAATTATTTCACTAATCGGGTCACTCGTACTTTTCCGATTGATATCATAAATTTTCAGTCATCCGAAGAAGTTGTATCACTTGATCCATAGAAAGATCGTCATTACCAATCATTTCGCGAGTTCAGATCGAATTAAAATTGTATAACGTAATGTATCCTCGCCCAGATCGATGATTCTCACGGGGCATGGACGAGCAACGAGGAGGAAGAGGAGAGTCGCGAAAACTCGGGGTCGGGGAGGAGCGGTGGTGGTTCAACGGGTGGCTTGCTGATGGCCAGGATCGACAAACTTCGACAGGTGGACAATCGGGAGGATACCTTTCGTATCATCGATCCGCGCAATTTGCCGCAGACTCAGCTCGTCGACAACGCACTGCGGGTACAGTGAGATGTTTTTATAATCGACCGATCATTTACGTAATGCTTGTTTACGTTTAAATCGGTTTGATCGTGATATGTATTCGTATATGTGGTATGCTCGTTTGGTTGGAAAAGTAAATTAAAAAGTGTACAATTATCATTTTTTTCTTTTTTTCTTCAGTTCTTTGATTATACAACTACGAGGTTTTATTCATTATTGTTTTGAAAATATTGTTACACATTTTGCAATTTTAAATGTACGCATGCATTTGTGTTTTCGTCGAGACGTATGTAAATAAGTATACAGGCATCGTTTCGGTTAATACTTGTAAAAAAAATTTAACAGAATCGTAGGACACACAAGACTGACCAACTACTCGAACTCTTTAAAACAAAATCAATGTCAATAGTTTTGAAAGAAAATTACGTTATATTAAGAAAAAAAAGAAGAAACCAATTATTTTTTAACGTATCATCTATTGTTTGACAAACAGTTTATGGCGATAAAATCATCCGTAGACGACTTGGCAATGAGAATATTCCCGAACCTCCGTATGCTCCATCGCACGAGCGAAGATCGCATGTAAGACAAAAACAAACGTCAGCCGAGAGTCTCCTCAACGAGTACACGATTCCAAATAAATACCTCGGCAATTTCGTAACAACAAATCAATAGTCTCTCTCTTTTTTTCCGATTTCAAGGCTTAAGCGTAGTTATCATTACTCCTCCATGGACAACCCGCAGGGATTTTTTTTTTTTTTTTTGGAAAATATTTAGGTCGAAGGGAAAATTACTTGGTAGGCAGAGGGGGGTAAAGGGGAGCATTTAAAAGTTTCGGGTCGTAGCTCACGGATCGTGGACCGTCTTGACGCTTATCTTGCCGTTGTCGTTGACGGCGACGGTGGCCGTCTTCTTCGAGTTCTGCTTGCCGTCCGGGCCGACGGAGGAGCTCGAGCTCGAGCTACTGAAGACGCCGTAGTTGTTGCCCGATGGCGCTGGAACGCTCTCGCCGAAGCGCGAGGATATCCCGGGAGCAGCCTTCGAATAATCATAAATATTTATCGTTTAACTTTGAGCAAGGGGGATATTTCTGGGACTCCTCCGGGATTTGTGGGGGGGGAAAAAAAAAAACAACAAAAACGGTAGAGTAATCTTACCGGGTAGACCTGAGCCGATTGGAAGCCACCCTGGGGCCCGATGCTGCCACTGGCGAATGCACCCTGAGGACCAACGGACGGCGAACCAGCCAGACCACCGTACGGACTGGCGTACGAGTTCGCGAGACCACCATACGGACCAGCTCCAAAGTTACCGTCTACGCGATTGCTTTGGTCCCAAATTCTGTACACCACATTGGACCATTACTTTGCTATTTATTTATTTTTTTTTTTTTTTTTTTCACGGTGAAAAAATAAGAGCGTTAACACCATGGAGTCGACTAATGTTATTGCGCACCGAGATGCAATGCATGGTATGTATCGTACACATGTTGAAATCCGTGATGTTTGGGCGGTTACCACTTGAAATTGTTATGGACAAGGCACTAGTGGAATGGACGTTGCAATGGTTTTGCGTGAAAATCGGGTGAGTAAGCCGTGGATGCGTGAAACCCCATCGGGAAATAAAGTGAGAAACCATCACCTAGTGTTATCGTTAGTGTCGTTATTGCTCGACAAAGCGGGACGGGCAACGACGGTGCTCTTAGAGCCGCCCAAGCCAGAGCGTGAGTCTACGGAAGTGGAATCGGACGCGGAGTCCTGTGACGAGTGCGTGTTCACGTAGACTCGTGCGTTCGGGTCGGCCGCTCCTTGGCCGTTGGTGATGACCGCACCACCCGCGGCGAAAGTTCCACCTCTTTGATGCGATCAAACAAGGCTTCGTCAATCTATGTGTGCATCTTTTTACCGTCGACTACAATTTTTTTACTCGCGGCTATTTGGCCACAACAGCCGTTTGAAAATACAAAAAAAACAACTGGTCGTGAAGCATGATTTTTATTAAAGTTTCCCTCTTATTTCGGTGCGTGATATCATTTTCACGTTTTTTTTTTCGCTTGGCTAGCGCGCGTAGGAAAAAAAAAAAAAAAAAAAAAAAAAAAATCTGTTATTCTATCGAATTCCCCGATCAGCTGCGTCATCACGCCGGATAAATTTGTTAAAAAGTTCATGAAAACACTCACGCCTGCTGTTGAGCCTGGATTTGGGCCTGGATTTGGGCCTGTAGAGCCGCAAAGTACTGCTCGAAGATGGCCTGGAGAGCGTAGGGGTTCGGCCCGTACGGGGAGACGTTGTTTGCGTACGGATTAGCCCCGTAAGCGGCACCGGCGGAGTATCCCGGTCCCGAGACAGATCCGTAGTTCGGCCCGGCTACGTATGTCGGCACACCTGCGGGGATCAGGAGACTATGCTTTATACATATACATACGTTTGTCATTCTTTTTGCACAGGATTACGAAACACTGTCTCGTTTTGTTAAACCAATATTTACAGCTGTTAGTTACATTACGATTTTTCATCGTCACTCCACATATACAACCAAATACCTATATTCATGTACAAATTATTGCACCGATATTATAAAAACATACAACTACGCATACAGGTGTTATTTACAAAGCAAAACCTCGCAACAAAACGACACCCACAAGATACGAGCGAATCTATCTGAAAACATTTTCGACGGACATTTATGAGTCACTGGGGACATCGAATTGTTTTATTGTTACGACGAGACTAAATTTTGGTTGTTTACATTTCACGCGATCCAATCGAAATCAAGCCAAATTTGAGGATCCAGTGCTCCCACAATCGTCCTCGAAAAATGCAAATTGTTAATTTACGCTACAAAATGTATAATCTATTGTTATATATATCCTCCACAACTCGAGCATCAAAGGAGACCCTTTGGGCCGGCCAACACCGTCCTACCTGCGGATGCAACGGGCCCATTGACATCGATCCCCACGGACTCGTCGTCCTCCGGGAAAGCACCGCGGCTGTTGACACCGGCAAAGGCCCCTGGGCCCCCGGAGCTGCTGTACGAGCTCGACGACTGCTGGACACCATCACCCGGTGTCGCTCCACCCCCGATGGAGGTCGAGACCGTGCCTCCGGTGCCACCTGCGCTCGCGCTGGCAAAGCTACCCGCGAAGGCGCCCCCCGCTCCACTCGTGCCGGCGCTGAAAGCTGGCCCAGGGGGGTGAGGGTAGTCGTAGGGTGCGCCGGGCGTGGGAGTAGGAGTATTCAAGCGCCAGGGATTGAAGCCTGGATCCACGGGTGGGAAGTAGCCTTGGGGCGGCGGGTTGAAAGGCAGCATCGGTGGAAGAAAGTCAACGATCACCGGCTTGGGGGTCGGGGCCTCCTCCTCCTCGTCGCCTGGGTTGAGTCTGACGAGCACCGAGGGGGCCGTCGTCGTGATGGGCTTTTTAGGTCTCTTGGTGGGCTTCCCCAGGGGCTTGACGGTCGTGGGCTCCTCATCCTCCTCCTCCGCTGGGGTCGTAGGTGCAGCGGTGGTGGAAGCTGGTTGCCTCCGACGTGGCTTCGTGGCTTTCTTCGTGGGTGGAGGTGCGGGAGTCGTCGTAGTAGTGGTGTCCTCAACGTCGGTGGTTGCCTCGTCGTCCTCGGGGGCCTGGGTCGTCGCCTCTGCTTCGGGGCTCTCCTGCTTAGCGGCCTGGCGCTTGCTCGGGGCTAGATTTCTTTCGTCCACCGATTTGCCTTTGCAAAGCGGAAACGAGAAACAAAAGCGATTTCGAGTGATTTCGAAGCCGAGAGATGGTGCGGGTCGTGAGTGCGGGGTGTGTCGGGCTCTGAGGGGAGAAGCCTTGGATCGAAGCGACGGACATGTCGAGTGATCGTGTCTTGAGAACCCAAGAGCTTCGTACAATCCATCGGAAATCTACATTACTATATATTTGATGGCACTAAATGGCTTTGGACTTTCAAGTTTTTTGCCCCTCGCTTTTTTCCTATACTTTGGTGGATTTGCTTACCATACGAATAAGCAATTGGGGTTTTAAATAAATCAAGTAGAATGAATTGATGGCGGGTCAAGTGTACATGCGTGTGTGGAATTAGCGTTGTTATTGCAGCAGTGGCGGATATGTATTGGGAGGAGAGTTAAAAATAATTGCAACACTGATCTCTGCACTGTTTAGCCTCTGATGCACGATATCGAGATCCTTGTTGTAGAAAAAAAGAAAAAAAAAAAAAAAACATAATCAAGGCTCGTACATTGTAAGTGATAAACCACAACTCCTTGAAGTCCCAATGATGAGACCTCGCCCAATTTGATAATCGGAAGGAAAAATAACAATCGGTATCGACTCGAGAGGCACCAAAAAATCGGTGAGTGTCAAGGTGACGATTAATAGTATCGCATCGCGAACGAGAGGCCGAGAGTGAGCCATCACTCGTGTACCTATAGGTATACCGTACATTCACTTGTTGCGATGACGAGACGCGCCGGCTGTACGGGAAATAATTTTTGCCCGGCTGATTATATACACACATACAAGTATATAATATAATCGCACGATCACGCGCGGATTTACTCCAAAGCTCGCGGGGGGGAACTGTATTTACCGATTCGCTTCTTCGTCATTGATGCTATCGGCATGAAACATCTCCTCTCGGCCACAATGTGTTTTTTTTTTTTTTTTTTTTGTTTTTTTTTTCACGATTCTTTCGCCTCGGACGTATACTTTGCGCGGTTTTCAAAACTCAAAGCTGATGAATCACTATAAGTAGACGGATCTTTTATCCCCGCGTATTATCGTATCTCGACGCGATATTGTATTACGTGGCCTGTACTTGTTGCCATAATATGTCGAATGAATGGCTGATCAGCCGTGAAATTTGATTTGTGTACATTTCGATTGCATGTCATACCATCACGTGTAGATTATTGTTTTTGATTCGAGCGTTTACCGGCGGAACGAAAATACTATCTGAAATATCGGTAATAAAAATCGGAAATCGGTAAGAAAATTTATATTGTAATTATAAAACCAACGAACGAAAAGTTACGCTTAATTTTTAAGGAATAATAAAAAAAAAATAATCAACATCTTACTTTCTTCAATTTTTTATCAATAGAAAATTTCTGAGCCTGAATCAATAATAAACACGCCGATGACATAGACCAAACATAATAATCGAGCGACTAAAGTTGCCTAGACGATTTCTCGAACAGCCTTACATTGTCGAGATAAAATAACGAAAATATTGAAGTAACAAAAAAAAAAAAAAAAAACAAGGGATAATATCCAAGTGGCACTCACTTGTCGCCAACTGAGTCCCAATGAGGAGCAACAGCGTCAGGCACACGTAGGTCAATTTGGCAGCCATGTTTTGCTCGTTAAATTACAAACGAACCAAAAAAAAGCTCACTCACACGCGTCCTCCTATATTAAAAAAAAAAAAAAACTTGTTATAAACACATAAACCGCGCGAAAAAAAGGTGTCGGCACTTTACCGGCTCGACACAGAATGACTGGATAAGCAAGTCTCGCGGTGATCTTATATAGCAATCGGACGTATTTGCACCACCAGCCGTCCCGTCCGCTCTCGCCTGTTTCCTCCTTCACCGGCTCCGACAATTAAGTCGCACATGCGTGTATATACACTGGCACAAGTATATACCGATGGCATTGTGTTCAGCCGGTTACTGACATATGGGAGAGGCACGAAAAAACGGGACCTCCACCTCTGCCTCGTCAAGAGCGCTCAATGGCTCTCTAACTCTACATTAGATGGATCGCCGTGATATACATTCTTTCTCGACGAGGAAATATTATGAGATTTTTTTTTTTCCTGCAGTTGGCTTGTTGTTTTAGGGTACGAGCCGATCGATCGCTCATAACTTTTGCAACGGGTCTCTTGTAATTATACGCGTAAAATGTCGTTGAATAACGTTTTTTCACGAGCCTTCGATACGAACCATACCTTCAAGGAGTCTCCAATTAATCGGATCTTCGTCGGTTGGGCTTCATTTTCCTGGAAAACTCGAACGATTTGCATGATTTTCTGCAAGATTGGATGGATTTTCAGATTTACATCGAAGGAGACATCGGCCGGGTGATTAGAAATAATTAAAATTTCAGATGAGCACGAAAATACAGGGAAACGAGTCGAGGTAGTTTTACCGATAAATAATTGGTTTAGTCAGATTATGAGCTGTCGTCCTGGGGATGCGTTAATCGAGCGATTGTGTATAATTTTCGGTGACTGGGATGATTTATTTGTACTTTCAGACACGGCAAGGAATGTTTTTACCCCCACGGTTACCCTTAAATTCGCACTCATTCATTTGAAAATCGGTTGGGATCCATCCACGCTTCTTTCATGAGGAATGTTGCCAATTATTCGACACTTTGATTCATCGTACTTGACGACTTGGCTTTAAAAACAAGCTCATTCATAACAAGCTATAATTTTCAGTGTTCGTTGTATTTGAGATCGTTCGATATTTTTATTGTTACTAGAGTTCAAAGAAAACAAAGTTGCACCATGAAACAATTCAACATGTGTATATCTATCATGGACATGACATTGGAAAGAACAAAATAATCGGAAATAATCGGATAAACAAAAGAAGTTTCCGTCCGTTCATTTAATAAAATTCTATTGTCCACTGATTAGCCTCGTGACTGTGTGCGTAAACACTTGGTAGATTTATCATCTCAAAATTTAACAGTACCATCAGAAGATACATTTTTTAATGATACTACGACATACAAAATCATCTTATTTTTACATTTGTATTATGTTTTCCTTACAATGATGATTCAAGTTATCCAGTTTATGAAATATAATTTTTTTCAAAAAAACATGCGTTAGGATCGTCAACAGAAAGCGATGACGATACATCAAAAAAGACAACGATCGAAAGAGATTCAGACTGTTTGGTGAAAATAAGAAGATTCGCCTATAAAAGGCCAACGCGTAGGATCTAAACTGCGCAAGATCACTACCAAGGTCAAGCTATTGAATATATCGCGATCTTTTTTTTTTCTTTTTTATTCTATTGATGGTGCTACAGCCAGATTACTGCAATCGGCGTCTAGTCACCGTGAGAATTAAGCTTCGTCCGAGAGGGGGATTCATTGGAGAGAATAAAAGAGTCTCATTGGGACAATTCGTATTCTGGGAAGTGCATAAGAGACTGCGTCACGAGTCTTCTAATCTCGGCTCATTGTTCTGGTGATGAATGATGTTTCTTCTTTATTTACACGATCAATTATCGATGTATTTACTTTTTGTTCAATGATTTACTCAACTACAACTAAAGTTATGAATGAAATGAATCTTTATAAAGTTACAAAGAGACTCATACCTTGCTCTCCATTCAATTGAGTGTTTAATCAAGGGAACAATGTTAAACTCACTACAAGAATCAAATTTATTAGTGAAATGATGTTAATGTCTTTGTTTTAATTAGAACTTTTTATTTATTTAAAAAAAGTTATAACACCAGCACGGGAACTTGAAACGATATAAATATATTTTAAAAAATTTTCATAATTTGTTTTTTTTAAACATTTCATCATTTGTTGATAACTTGTGAATTTTTACCCTAAATTTCATCAGCATATATTAAGTAAAAAACTTTGTAC